ATTGTAGAACGAGTGCTATCCATTTTTGTTTGTATTTTGCAAAATCTATAGATGAAAGAGAAAAATTGTAAGTTACAAAAATGATCAGCAAAAACGATTAACAAACAAACAAAAAAAAAACAATGTTATGCGAAAATGTCAAGTATTGTATGCCAGTTACTTTCTTCAATGCGTTGTTCAGAAGTTACAAAAATGCATTTTTTATTTGCATTTCGTTACCAATGTGTACATCAACTTATTTTTTCTTATTTAAATGACCTTTTTTATGTTTTCAGTGAGTTTGACAGCCTGTGTTTCTTCACCCAAGAACATTTCTGCGCAGTCAGTTATTTTATTTTCACATATAAAAACGAGCATTGGTGTATCTGATACAGCATCATTTAAAACTAATGGTACATTTAGATGTCTGTCTGCAGGGTTGTATCTTATCGCTGTTACAGTGACATCCGGGACTTTTAATGCACATTATTACGTAAACATAAACTCTAAGAAAGAATTCAATGGTTTTGTGGCGAAACACTCTCCAACGAATTACACCGACATTGCAAATTTTGAACATTCTGGAACCATCATCTTTACAGCAGGACTTGGAGTAAATGACACAATTTACGTGCAGGCTGGAAAGTTTATGTTTATAAGCAATTGGAACTCGTGTCTGTCAATAACTAAAATCAAATGATTATTGAAATATGTACATATCTATGTACTTGCATTCCTGTACTTTACATGTTTTGAAGCAATAGAAAGTATTTGACGTTTGTTTTAAAATGCAGGTTACTACCCAGAAAATGTTGTGAAAGTGACTATGTCTGACAATCACGTCATATGTATATCTTTCATTGATCAATCCAATTACTAAAAAAAAGTAACACGTTTTTTGGGGTTTTTTTTTATTTAAAGAGAAAATATTTATGTATTACATGTAATATCAAGTACTGAAGTTTAGAAACCTTCTTCGATGTTGTGTTAAATGTCTTGTCCTTTAATTTCCCAATCTTATTTCGTTTTAATACCGATTGAGTTGGGAAATGTATATCCCATATGCAAGTGAAGCTGGTATATTGCTGCTAAGGTGGGGAAATTTATAATTTCAAAATTATAATCGTCTCGTTTGTCATAGATTCTGGTACTGAGGTGACCGCATATGTCAAATTCGAAGTGTAAGTCTAAAAATGAGGCAGAAAAAGAATGTGTAGTTAAACAAAATTCATCCCAAATCAGACAAAAATTGGTGATTCAGAGTCTTGTGACTTTGTAGTCACCTGTTTTTTCGAGCTTTGTGTATAGTCAAAGTGACCCTTGAAGCACATCATCTATGATTAATCTAGCTAAGACGCTAAGTATAAGCACAATTAAAAAGTGAAAATAAAGTACTTTTCAAATTGCCTTACAAGTTAAAAAGATGAAAAAATTTAGGACACAAAGATGGCACACCAAAAGTATTAGGGAGCTACCATTTGATTTTTATGGGGCTAGGATGAAATTTGAAAAAAAGGCAGGACAGGAGTTTTGAGTAAATAAAAAGACAGGATGAGCAACTTGGCAAAAAAAAAAGTCAGGATGACAATTTATGTAAAAAAAGTCAGGATAAACTAATAAAAAAAAGGCAGGATCGAATATAGTGAAAAAATAAAAAGGCAGGACAGAGATTACAACTAAAAAAAAAATGCAAGACATAATTTTTCATCCTAGCCCCCCATAAAAATCAAATGGTAGCCCCCTTAGTATACTTCAACAAAACAGCATGCCAAAAAACCAATAACCGTATGGGAAGGAAAGACAGCATTTTAGTCAATATACTAGTATCAACGATAACAATCGATCGGCGAAATGTCGGGAATTCGTAATTATCTATCAGCTGATCAGAAATTCAAGGGCGTATATTTACATGTTTTACCTCCTGCAACACTCGACGAATTCAGAAAAAATATTCTGAAAGCGCCATCTAAATCTTGTGAACTGGACCCCTTTCCGACACACCTTCTCTAACAGAGCCTAGATACTTTAGCGCCTGCTATTACGAGCATAGTGAACATGTCGTTGGCTGAATCGAGCGTACCTTCAACTTTCAAAGAGGAGTTGTGCGGCCACCACAAAAGAAAGCAAACCTAGACAAGGAAGTTCTCAAAAATTACCACCCGGTGTCAAACTTGCCATTTGTATCCAAAGTTGTTGAGAGAGTTGTCGACACAAGATTTGTTAGGAAAGCTGGCAATTCATGCCAATCAAGACCGGTTTCGAACACACCTCACCACGAGCGGGGTTCGAACTGACAACCTCGGAGTTTACCATCTAGTGATCACTGCAGAATCTTCGTTTTGAGTCGTCTCGAAAAGATATTAGATTTTTTAGATAATTAAAGATAAATGATCAGACAATACGTGTCAGTTACATACCGTCTACCTTTATCTGTTTGAATAATCCCCTATGTTGTAAATAAAAAAAATAACCATTTTGATAGCGTCGTTTTGATTTTGTATTTGGTATTGAAATCATTGTGGTTCTCACTAATGCTTATTATCAAGATGTCTCTCTTAGCTTGGTATACGGTATAAGTTTTGCTTATTGGTGAAGATAACACGGTGACATGTGGTTCTTTACATCAGTGTCTGTGGTCGTTGTTGAATATTAGTCTGATTGACAATCATAACATATCTTCTCAACTTTAAAATTTCGACCTTGAAAGATCACATGCCACAGGCTTTTTACAAAAAAAAATTAAGATTTCTTTAACTCAGACTGTGAAATATATAAATGTAGAATATTAGGAACTTCAAGTTTTTTTATATTGTTGGTAATTTTATGGGACTATGATTGATTACATCCGTGTATTTGTTTCGAGTTTTTAAAAACCATAATCTAAATGATAACATAGAATACATCTTATCACATAATATATATTTGTTTTGTCTGTAGAAAGAATACTCACTAGAATTTTGGCAAGTAGTTTAAAACAAAGAATACTAACCAAAACACGTTGAAAATGAGGGTCTTTATATTTAACAATCTGTAGACTTATTCATTAAGTAGGCATACTCACGATAGAATGACGTCCTCTTCTTTTATATTTAAATCTAATAAGGAAAGAACAAAACATAAGCAGATTTATTGAGGGCAGCTACTTCTTAAAATATAGGCATCGTCCTATGTAATGGTGATGCATAGTAAAAATATAGACAGCGTCCTATATAATGTTGATACATGGTAAAAATATAACACAAGGTCCTATATAATGGTGATACATGGTAAAAATTAGGCAGCGTCCTATATAATGGTGATCGATACATAGTAAAAATATCGGAAGCGTCCTATATAATGGTGATACATGGTACAATATAATACATCATCCTATATAATGGTGATGCATGGTAAAAATATAGACAGCGTCCTATATAATGGTGATACATGTTAAAATATAACACAGCGTCCTATATAATTGGTGATACATGGTACAATATAATACATCATCCTATATAATGGTGATGCATGGTAAAATATAGACAGCGTCCTACATAATGGGGATACATGATACAATATAATACATCATCCTATATAATGGTGATGCATGGTAAAAATATAGAAAGCGTCCTATATAACGGTGATGCATGATAAAATATAACACAGCGTCCTATATAATGGTGATGCATGATACAATATAATACATCATCCTTATTTAATGGTGATGCATGGTAAAAATATAGACAGCGTCCTATATAACGGTGATACATGATAAACTATAACACAGCGTCCTATATAATGTTGATACATGGTATAATATAATACATCATCCTGAATAATGGTGATGCATGTTAAAAATATAGACAGCGTCCTATATAATGGTGATACATGATAAACTAAAACACAGCGTCCTACATGTATTATATAATGGTGATACATGGTACAATATAATACATCATCCTATATAATGGTGATACATGGTAAAAATATAGGCAGCGTCCTACATAATGGGGATACAAGGTAAAATATAACGCAATTTAGTTACTGGTAAACCTATCAATTATAAACTAAGTCTTTGAAAATCTCGTTTGCTTAATGAGGTTCTAAAATTTAAATAGATTCTTCAAAAAGATATTGCAAGTGTCATCTCCCTTTTATAATGTATTCTATATTATTCATCTCTCGACAAATATTTTTAAAACAAATTATATCCTTGGCTTTCAAATACTCGACTTTCAGCTTTTCTGATGAAGGTTAATCCAGAAAAGCGCTCTGAACGCATGAAATAAATAAAGTGCTGTTTTCATTTTTTATTTCCCCCATGGGTGACTGGGGGATAGAAATATGGTCACTTTGGGTTTCTTCCGAACGAGATTAAAAAAAAACTCGCCGAAGTGGGGCGTCTGTTTGGTTCGGCGTGATGTACAAGTACGCAGCCACATCCGGTCAAAATGGGGACGTTAAATCCATTGTCTCGCTTTAAGAGAGTAACACGTTCTCTGCAAGTGAAAAACCATTGCAACAATTTTTGGAGGCTCCGTAGGTGACTTGTTGCAATGCAAAATTTCTGTCCCTCCAGTATGCCCTCATTTTCAAGTGGCAGTTTAAATTTCCCCGACCTTCATCTCTGACAGCCTCTACTACAGAACACACTTATTGTATTTATTGTTAATTTGTTCTCGTCCCGAACATGCATGAAATAATCGCCACTGGCCGTTTAGCAACCAACAACTACAGCAATCATTTTTTAATTGTGTTCATATTGCATTCCAAAACTGTCATCAAAGTATTGTTATTTCCGCCATATATCACCTTTGGCTTTGCAAAATATTTATACTTCATATTTAAAAAAGTATTGCACTTTTGTAGTAATCAAATGCGTTGAAATATTAACAAGTAATTAGATACTGAACAATAAAACTATAAAAAATTAAGTTGATATGAAACACTTTGACATCTTTCGATTCGGAAACAGTTAAACTCTGGAACGGAAAGTACTTATGACAAGGAAATTTCATTATGTTTCTTTGTTTAAACAAATGTAGTGGATGATGAAAATAGATATCCTTCCAATTCAAATTAATATCTTAATGTGAAGGACTGATTAAACTTAACAGCAGAAATGAATTTTTCAGGAACACAGATGGAGGAGTACGAGGATTGCAAACACGTTGACGACCCAACATACGATACTGTGTATTCAAACAGCAAAATATCCAAAGAGACTTTTTCCTCACGTAAACTATGGATTAAAATTTTTATTCTGGTCATGACAACATCATTGGTGTTTTCAGTGTTAGGCGTGACGGTTACATACCTTGTGATGTGCGGTAAGTCACCTACATACATTGTAGCACTTGGTTCTTGTTTGTTTTTGTTTTTGTTCTTCTTAGGTACGTTGCAGTTGGTTGGTGTTTGTATATGTTGTAGGTTTAATCAACTCTTACTGGTATTGACTTATAGCTTACATTGAAAACAAAAGTATAGACATACATCCTAATTGAATCACGGGGAAGATATTTTCTTTTCTAACCTTTTTCGAAGACAATCCAAACTAGATAATGAAAAGTAGAAATACCAAACTACACTGTAAATAATAGATTAAAGACACATGTTCATACTAGATTAAGGACACATGTTCATACTAGATTTAGGACACATGTTCATACTAGATTAAGGACACATGATCATACTAGATTAAGGACACATGTTCACACTAGATTAAGGACACATGTTCATACTAGATTAAGGACACATGTTCACACTAAGGACACATGTTCATACTAGATTAAAGACACATGTTCATACTTGATTGAGGACACATGTTCATACTTGATTGAGGACACATGTTCATACTAGATTGAGGACACATGTTCATACTAGATTAAGGACACATGTTCATACTAGATAATTTGATCTGGTAGTTTGAGAAGCGACAACATGTACATTAACAGTTTTCACTATTAAGCATTAATATATAAAACCAAATGCGTTTCAGAGATAAGTTTTGCTGTAAATTTCATAAATATTTCCAACAGAGCAAGATTAAAGGGGCGCGCTACGATATAAAAACGTTTTACCGGACATCATCTGCATATGCCTGTCCAAAGTCAGGAACTTACACCTGTAAAGCCAGTAGTTGCATTTTGTTTTATCTAATGTTTGAAAACTTATCTAGACTCGGGTAGTTTAGACATTGACATATTGTATAGAGACCTGTCAATTTTTTTCTCTCGATGGATTCATTTCTTGTTTACATTTACCCACGTCTCGTATTTAAATGATTTAGGGAGCTACCATTTGATTTTTATGGGGGCTAGGATGAAAAATGTTGTCTTGCATTTTTTTTTAGTTGTAATCTTTCTCCTGCCTTTTTATTTTTCACTCTATTCGGTCCTGTCTTTTTTTTATTAGTTTATCCTGACTTTTTTTACCTAAATTGTCATCCTGCCTTTCATTTTTGCCAAGTTGCTCATCCTGCCTTTTTTTTACTCAAAACTCCTGTCCTGCCTTTTTTCAAATTTCATCCTAGCTCCCCCCATAAAAATCAAATGGTAGCTCCCTTATAATGGATATTGGAAACACGAATATATTATATGCAAAGTAAATGCTTGCCCTTTCTACTGTTTATAGTGAAAACTAGTAGAAATATTGTCCTTCATGTAGTATTGGCACACATTTTTTTTAATTAGCGATTTTCAATTCCCTCCAGCTACGTAGTTGAATCGGCATTTCAACTGACTTAATTGGAGAGCCACTGACGAGTTTTAAAAAGAACTTGTGTTCAGCATACCAAAGTGAAAGTATGAAATCTTTGATTAATTTTAAGAGTTAAATAAGCTTTAGTAACTTTCCTCCCACATTTACTGTGCATAAAACGATTAGTTAATTATAAATATATGTTTTGTTTACAAACAAATCGACATTAAGGAAAATCTCCCTTTCACAATGAAAAGTTGTTGATTGGTAATCAATGTGAATGTCTAGCTCTATCATGAGTCCTTTATTAATGTGCATGCATATCAAATTTGGTACAAAAGTCCGCGACTATTTTTTATACATTTACAGCGGGAAAATATTTTGTCGATTTTTCCGCATGTGGATGATAACTTTACGCTTTTCACTCAATTTTTTTAGAAAATTTAGGGAGCGTGAGAAACAATATTAGTTTTCTCTCTATTTCAGGAGAATTGTGCGGTAAACCAACCCAATCAAACAGCTCTACAACAGTGGATCAACAGATATCAATCATATCAAAATAACTTGATAAAACTCAAATGAAGACAGAGAACTTAACACAACAGACAAAACTAGGTACTGTCATTACATGGTGTAAATTACATTTTTGTCTTCATGTTGTAAAGTTTTTTTAAATTTCTTTTAGAAATTTTGCTATTTGTGGGGGATCTTTGCCATTTTGAGGCAATTTACCCCATTTTTTGTAGATACTATACTCCTTTACATATTTCATATTGCACAGCCATGTGTATATATATGAAAATAAGTAGATGTAGTAGGATTGACCATGAGGTAACAATCTACCTGATTTCAAATGACGTCGATGTGTATAGATTATCGGGTTTTCTACACATTGATATTTTACGATGTCTATACGTAGAAAACACGATAATCTGTTTATCGTTCTATTACAGGTCTTTCTCCCTTCCTTAGACAGTTTTGAGCATGAAGAAAGCAAGCTTGTTTACACATTGTGACGTCGCTGACAATTCCTGCTCACATCTAAAAGCCGTAATATGAGAGTTACGAAGCGACTGAGCAGGTGTGATAGGCGAAGGGATGGACAGTAAAAGCAATCATAGGTCACTGTTGGGCCTTCCACACTGAGCAAACCGCTTATCGAATAGTCTATATGTCGACGTTTATAGGCCTTTATGTTGTTTGTTCTGTTGGTTGTAATCTAATTGGTGTATACTCAGTATATACTATTTATTCATACAGTATTTAGAATTATTTCAAGGGAACTTTTTATTTTGAATTGAATTCATTGTCTCACAATACGGAGGTGATCTCAAAAACTCGTTGTTCATCTTGATATGCGTTCATATTCCATTTCTTAAACTTCACATAATATCTTCAAAATTCATGTCTATGCAAACAGGATTTCAAATTTGATGAGTGATAAAAAATAATGAAAAATTGTTAAATCAATAATTATTGACAAAGCATTGTCCTTTTCTTCCAATTAAGTCAGCATTCTTGTTTATAACATAGTAAGTTTCATACTGATTAAGGTGATTGGATAACTTGACATTTTAAAATTGAGAATGGAAATGGGGAATGTGTCAAAGAGACAACAACCCGACCATAGAGCAGACAACAGCCGAAGGCCACCAATGGCTTACATGTGCAGAAAAAAATATATCCTTACTTAATATTTTATTATTGTACTTAATTTGGTGCAAGGATCCACACCTTTAAAACAATACCTCAGTCTTTACTCGTGTCTTAATATTGTTCTTCCATTTTTTTAAAGTGACTGTGTACTAAATATACAAAAATCAGACAGTTCAATTTTGTACTATATAGTTTTTTTTCAACTTACATGTAATACATGTAAATCCAAAAGCCCTCTAAACGCTACCGATCGCGCTTAATATTTTTTTTATTATGTATAATGACCTATGTATATTAACACATGATTGTTTATAAGTTTTCCGAGAAGTGGTGGGAAGTTATATGGTATTGTTGCTTCGTGTGATTAATATACAAAAATTGAATGTTTTATTTCTTTCTTTTAAGTGGCCTTTACAGCATGCGTTATTGTGGATACAACTGTGCAAAAAGGACAAACCATCAAGTTCAAAGACATCAAAACCTCATTGGGAGTTGGAAATTTATCAGAAACCATTTCCTCAGGTATATTTACAACCAAGGATACAGGGCTTTATCAAGTCATTGTTATCGTAAAAACGCATACCGATGCAGCAGCCTTTACAGTCAACAGAAATAACGCTATTATCGTATCTGGTTACGTTGCTCAGCATACCGATAGAGGTGAGGGTACAAACTTCGACCACATGGGTACGGCTGTTGTTATGGTATTCTTGTTTAGAGGTGATACAATTTCAGTTACACCTGATATCAAGATATATCTGCACAAGGAAACCTGCTTGTCAATGGTCAAGATATAAACTATTTTTTGTCGGATCGGTTGCCGTACATTAATTTTGTAGGATATTATTTTTGACCATGTATTCAATATACAACATATATGACCACGAATGGGAAAATCTTAACTGTAAATACTATTATATAAGATTTATCTGTTTGTTTGTCTTATTTTGAATATAAGAAAATGATATCAACGGATCTTTTTCAATTAAAGTTGCTGGAATACATTTCATGATAATTATGCAACTGTTTACTCCATGTTTGTTCATCAAAACATCAAATACTATTGTTTTTATTTTACTCATTCATTCCTACCAATTTGCCTCCCAACCAGAAAATATTTTTTTTGACATGAAATAAAAACAGACCAGTGTGTTTAATAAAACGTTTCGTGGATACAGTGTAGGTGTGTGTGTTTTCTCATCAATCTTACTTCATCTTTTTATTTTGATGGTGATGTTAATTAGATGTAATTTTAAAGACTTAATTTTTATCGAAAACTTTTAGATGCATGATGGATTTCAGGGCCCGTGTGCATAAAGCTACTTAAGTTAAGATTTGTTCCGAACGGACGGATTTTTCTACATGTCCTACGATAAATTAGTATTACGATTGGATATCTAAACTTAAGTAGCTTTATGCATACGGGCCCTGGAACGCATCAACTGGCCAGTTTGATTTATGGACATACTATAACATGACCTAATGCAATGCCAGAGATTTTTATATGTACAAGCATTGTGAAGCACACAAAAATGATCAGTGTCGACATTTAAAATAAGTTGTTATTGAAAAATTTTGCGCTGTGTTAAGGTTGTATTCAATTTCCACGGACCATCAATGAAATGCGAAGTACAGTCTTTTTTTGTTTAATTTCGTATGTTCAATTCAACATAGAGTTTTGAACTTAGATAGAGTATCAAGGGTACAGATAGATTGATAATTTCTTCCTCTCTCCTAATAGATGAAGTAATACACGAAGAATTTGTTAAGGAGAGTCTACAAAAGGGGACGATTAAATCATTGCCATTCGCTATGGATAAATAGTTGTACTTTGTATAGATGGAGGAATTAAATCACACAAACATTTTGAGGCAAGACCGCTGTATACTAGTATCTTATAGAATAATTGAAGTGTTCGTCTGTAATTTCTACTATGTAAGGGTTTCTAGTCAATCTTTTCAAAAAGATATTGAGCATTATTAACGATTTATAATCCTGTTATAATTCTCACAGCTTGAGGGTGAAGTTTTTCTAATTTGTTTGATTCGCAAATACCACAATTGTCCCCCTTCACATGCATACTCAAAGATAGGACGAATAAAGACCAGAGACATTTTCAAAGTTTTTGTCTTTTCATCTTGAATTTTAATTTTCGTAAGGCTCCTTAATGTTTGGTTCAATGTTCTGGCAATATTTTCTACATGCTCTTTCAATATAATGGAATTGTAAGTGACTGTCATACAAGTGAGAGGTTTAGCTAGCTATAAAACCAGGTTTAATCCACCATTTTCTACATAAGAAAATGCCTGTACCAAGTCAGGAATATTACAGTTGTTATCCATTCGTTTGATGTGTTTGAGCTTTTGATTTTGCCATTTGATTACGGACTTCCCGTTTTGAATTTTCCTCGGAGTTCGTCATTATTGTTATTTTACTTTTTTCTACTTTGTATCCTGGGAAAGAGTCAACCAGAGTTTATGACCTGATTTATAAGATATAGATATTCCATTGAAAGAAAAAAAAATCTGGGATATTTGAACAATTCATTATTTCAGTGTTATCTGTGTTAAAGGACATACTCCCATTTTTAAAACAACAAACTGAGTTTAATTAGGTATTTTAAGGGTGATATTTCAAGCATCTTCTGACTGATCATATCTGGCTCAGATCCTTTTTTAAAAAAGTAAGTAGTATATCGACTATTAAACTCTCTGTTTTTTTTTTAAACATCATTGATTATTCTTTCCGTTTAGGGAGCTCAGAACTCACAAAGCATCCGTAAACTTCAGTTTAGTTTTATTTGAAATTCACAAAGCCATTTAAGGTCTTCGTTGAATGTTCGGCGAACGTTATCGGATACACCGAGATATAACTAAAATGATTCAAAATTAGCAGTATTTGTTTTATTTGATAAGAGAATATTTTGTATTAAAATTGAAGATTAGGAATACCATAGACGAAAAAAGAAAACAAAATTAAAGCCACCCCAATAAGGGAGAATAATAGGTACATCCGGATTGCAAAATTTCAACTCCGGCTTCATTTGATTGTAACTTCACACTAATTCTAAAAATATAAAGTTCATGTAACTTTTACATGAAAAGTATGCAAAAATTTCTACTTCCAGTTTACGCAAGGTCTATTCCAGTTGACCATCTTCAAGGTCATATGTCTGCAAAACAGTGTAAAATACCATATGACTTTATCATCTACCAATTAAAGGTTAGATGAAAGGTCAAAATCTAAAGCATCAAATTAAACTTTGACCTTGATCTCAATTTCCAGATCATAAAACAAGTACCTCAAATCAAAAGACCCCAAGTCTCTCCTATATATGGTTGATAAGATATATCACCATACAGCTAATTAAACTAAAAGAGGGGGACATTTCAACTAAATGTTAACGTACCCTTTAAACTAAAATCTATGTGTTACGACCTGTAGCAGCTTACAATTTAGTTAAAATATGTTGATGATATCTTAAACGGTTTCTCGGAAGAGGCGATAATAAGCCAAAATCAAAATTTAGAACATGACCTTGACCTTTGACCTCATTTTATTTATTGGAGGACCAATGACCTCAAATCAAAAGGTTCTATGTTTCTATCACTTATGGTTTGTCAGTTACAAAATATGTATTTCTCTTATATCAAATACAGAAGAGGAAATAACTGTCAAATTTTTCGTTTATGTTTTTGTAATTAATCAGGCCGTTAGTTTGTTCTTTTGAATTCTTTCACTTTTTGTCAAGCTGTAGCCTTTTTTTTATAGCTGACTATCCGGTTTGAGTTTTATTCATATGTGTACAGTGCTTTATTGTTGCTTAAACCCACATTTTTGGTCTCGGTGGTGGATACTTGGTGGATAGTTTTCTCATTGGCTACCATACTAAGTCTAATTATTTTATATACATGCACATTAATAATCAGACTGCGGCCAGATTATCTTGCAGATATTATATCAACCCATTATATATGAATCTACCAGCTCTGTGTATAATCTGCGTAATAGCAAAACTTATAAAGTTCCAATACTTCGACGTAATATGTATCAAAAATCCTTTCTTTATGCTACCTCTTTAGGCTCTAGAACAACTTTTCCTTAGCTATAGCAAATTGATGATCCAGTCATACCCTTAAAAAAATCTTGACAACAGAGGTTTCGACAGGGTCATAATATAAATTTTATTTACTTTAATTTTCTTTTTTGTATGATTTTTTTTAATTGACTTTTGACTAGGATGTATATTAAATTTAATATTGTTTGAAAGAGAAAAAAAAGTTAAATATTTTAACTTATTTAGTTCATATTTCAGAAAACATTGTAAAATAGATCTTAAATTGCCCTACATTTCACAAATTTTCTAGTTTCCTGTTTTCGGAGATTTTATGATAAAATTCTTAGTTTTTGATTCATAATAGTATCTATTCTGTTAGTCCTAAAATGTTGTCAGTTTCCGAAAACAATCATGTTTGCTATGTTAGAAATAGAGTTACAACTGAGAAATTTTCAGGTTTCCTATTTTCGTTGAATTTTTTATAAAATCTTAGTTTTTGTCTTAAACTATTGATTTCTGGTCGGGAAATTTTGTCAGTTTCCTTATACAATCATGTGTGTGATTGTACATAAATAAAGTCATATTGTAATAAAAGATGTTGATTCATAATAACACAAATATCAAAATTTCTCAGTTTTCATTTACTTACTTTTTCATTAAAAATACGTTGATTTCAACCCGAACTCATATATATTTATCACTATTAAGTTGGTAGAATTTATGATGATTACTTGGACACAAAAACACCCAAGTAGTTCATGTTGCAATTTTGTTAATGTTTAAGTCTTTCTGTTCATTTTTGATACTGAAAAACGTATAGTCCATGGAGGAACCGGGCATCAACCCTGGTATCTCCCGCATGCTGAGCGAGCGCTCTATCATGTGAGCTAGTCGCCCTGTTGTTTATTGAATAATAAAATAACGCCTTTTGCGTACATGTGACATTGCATTACTTTATCGGTTCTAATTACAGTATCCCACTAGCCTTGGGAACTTTATTTGTAGAATAATTGATAAGGGAAAACACAAGGTGTTATGAATTATTTTATATTTAGGAAAATTACGTGATATATGTCTACTAGGGTGGTCGGTCGATAATGCAAAACAGTAAAACGTCATACCACCATAAAAAGTCATTTATTGTGCATGCGCTGGAAATCCATCAAAAAACGTAAAATTTTAGAGGTAAACGGGGAAAAATACCTTTCGAGTCGGACTATATCCACAGACCTAAGGGTGTCTTATTTTTCTGATTCCACTACAGTCTTCCGCTCTACAAACTGGGATATCACGGGATCTGCTTGTTAAGGGTTCTTCTTCTTCTTCTTCTTCTTCTTCTTCTTCTTCTTCTTCTTTGTCTTCTTCTTCTTCTTCTTCTTCTTCTTCTTCTTTGGGCAGAAATGCTTCAATACTGAAGAAAACATGTTGTTGTTAGTGACAATTTATGATTTATACGTATATTCATGTATATATAACATCTAGTAAAAAGATGTGAAATATATAAATTGGATAAGAGACATATAAGGGTAAGTAGGGGAATAATTCATTTAGAAAATGCAATATATAAACAAGAAACAGAGAGGAAACAAAAGTAGAATGAAGGATCGGTTGCGTTTAACATATTGCTTATCATGAAAGCAATCAATATTACGATATAGCGGCTATGTTTGATATAGGAACAAAATAGTGGTGTATATTAAATGGGCATTAGCTATCAAATTCATTTTCATCGACTCTAATTCTCATATTTGATTTATAACATACTAAAACGTATATCGAAATTACAAAAAGTCTAAATTAAACAATTGACCACGTGCAATTGGATTTTTCTAGGTCTGTTTGATTTCATAAAGTAAATTTAAAAGTATGTTTAACATCAGTTTTACCTGTATAAGAATGATGTTTTGTGGATCGAATCAGTCAACCAAATGGTTCATTCTTGTTTCAATTTCAATGTT